TATTTGGGTATAATAAACTTTAAATTAAATCAATTGTCGCTTTATAGCACAGGTTTCAGCTTTTCTCGACCTTACGCATCTTTGATAAAAATCTGAATTATAATTAAGTTCCAAAACAAAATAAAAATAAAATCAATTTTCTCGACCTTAAATATAACACTATTCTCGACCTTATGCATTCTCTACTTTAATTATAAACTTATTTTTTTATTCTTACGAGCTGCACAAGCTAAGATAACGATGATATATTCTGAAAAAATGGCAATAACTATACTCTGACAAAAGCCTGAATTTTATTGTCCTTACCAATTAATAAGATCGAGCACATGTTTCAGCTTTTAAAATAAAATAAAAAACTTTTCTCAAAATTAACGAGTAAGTGTTATAAATAAGAAAAATTAGTTTGATATTAGATTGCCATACTATCTAGCTAATATAGAAAACAAATATATCGATTTACTTTGAATATTATTTAAATAATAGATTTAAAAGAAAATGTATAAGAGAAAAAGGCAACAATAAATTCAGAAACAAATGTATAATAGATAAATAAAATTCCTGATTAATGTATTTAACTTCAAATTAATTCATGTTTTATGTATTGAACTTCAAATTATTATTCTGAGTAATTTGTTTTAAATAATTTCATTATAAAAGTAGAATAAACATTACAAGGAAAAATAAATAAATTAATTAAAAAGGTAAATATTCTTATGAATTAGAGATTATGTGATTGCTAACAAAATATAAAATAGCAAAGATTGATAATATTCATTAAAAATAAATTATTCTAAATGTATATAAAAAGAAAGATGTTTTAATTTTTTTTTCACTTACTCACCCGCCCTTAGGGAGGGTTTTCACTAGTGGTACATAAAGGTAACAAATTGGCATTGAAATTAACTTACTTACAACATTATAACTGATTTGAAATTCAAAAAAAAAACAGCATAATTAATTTTATAGAGTCTATACAACATACACACATAAGCATAATAGGCAACATCTATAAAAAAATACACAAGCATAATAGACACATTAACTTATATACAATATCATAACATCTATACTACGTACAAACACCTAAGTATAACTATGACAATAACTAACCTACGATAGCATGACAAATATAACAACCATAAAAATCATCACCAGTTTAAACATAAAAGAGCATAAAAAATATTTCAAATAATTATTCTATAAAGATTATTTGTTTAGGAATTGAAAAAAGTAAAACTACTATTAAACACTCTTTTATAATTTTCTTATGTTCAGAGTTTTAGAAAGATAATTAGTATCAGATTTTATTTTTACAGTTACCATTTCTTCAGTATTCTAGAAAAGGAAAATTAGTATCAAATAAATTATTTTGTAAATCTTTTTTTTGTTCAAATTTCGTAGAAGAAAATGGTTTAGAAGAATTGCTATTAAATAATTTTTAAAATTACTTTTATTTGTAAAATCGCTTTCATTATCTTAGTATATATATTTTGTTAATCATGATTTATTTTAACATTTATAAAAAAGGATAATTACTATTAAATAATATTTTCTTTAAGATTTTATAAAACCAAATTGGTAATTAATAATTACTTTACGAATGTTGTTTTCTTTTGGTTAGGATTTTTAAAAAGAAAAAATACAATTAAACACTCATTATTTTTTTTTAATTTTACACAATACTTAAGATTAGTATTTTTAAATTCGTTTTTATTATATTAAATATTTTTCTTTAGGATTCGTGAAAATTAAAATTACAATTAAGCAATTTTAACTTCTTATTTTTTCTTTTAAACACTTTTTAAAACTAATATCTTCAGATTTTGTTTTTATTATCTTAGTATATATATATCGAAAATCATCATCATATTAAGAAGAAAAGAACATAAATAATATTTGAAATAATTATTTTACAAATATGTTTTGTTTAGGATTTGAAAAAAATGAAAACTACTATTAAACTCTCTTTTATTATTTTACTCGATAGGGCCCGTGCGTTGCATGAGTTTTTTAATTTGATGTTTTAGTATTTATAAAATATAAAAATAATAATTCATTTTCTAGTTTTATGATTTTTTGCATATGTTGTGTGAGATTTATTTTAGAAGTTAAGAATTCGTTTTTCCATAAATGTTCCGATTAGTATTTATATTTTAATAAGCACATATTTTATTTTATGTTTTAATTTTACAAAGGACATAAAATAATAAATTATTTTATATTTTAAGATTATATTTGTATATGTTGTGTGAGATTTATTTCAGAATTTAGAATTTGTTTATACACATAAATATTGGTAAATATTTGTTTTTTAATAATGATGGCACATAAGTGAATTGGTAAGTCGTTATTGAGAAACGCCTATTGTGTGTAAACCGTCTGAATCCGCTATTGAGAAACGCCTATTGTGTGTAAACCGTCTGAATCCGCTATTGAGAAAGCCCTCAAGATCATCATCTTCGTACAACACTCCCCTTCTTCGGGTCACGGGTTCGGCCAACGGTGGTTACAAATCCGGCTACATTATTATTTTTTGCTTCCAGTCTTAAATATTCTAGGACCGGCTCTGTCATCACTCATATATAATAAACTCCACATGCATTCAGATTTTGGACGTTTGAATCCCAACGAACAGCGAAGGAACATCAACGAACTAGCGCGAGTCTAAGTCAAAAAGAAAAGAAAAAAATTAGCGCTGAGTAGCGAGAACGGTGGTGACACTCGCCATTGAATGGGTGTGAGCATTAATGACGAACAAAACTTACATTCACCCCCTGTGGTGAATTGAAGAATTCACCTCAATCCTTAATATTTTTCTCTGTGGTGTGGGTAACGAAGAAGAAGAAGCCGACGGAGACACGTTTTATTCTTCCGTTAACGGCGTCTTCTTAAGCTATTTTCTTTTTCTAGTTTTTTTGTTTTAATTTATTTTTTAACTAATCATATGTGGCAATTTGATTGGTTTTAAGGATTGAGGTGAATTCTTCTATTCACCACAGGGGGTGAATGCAAGTTTTGTTCTGTGGTGAATAGAAGAATTCACCTCAATCCTTAAAACCAATCAAATTGCCATATATGATTAGTTAAAAAATAAATTAAAACAAAAAAACTAGAGAAAGAAAATAGCTTAAGAAGACGCCGTTAACGGAAGAATAAAACGTGTCTCCGTCGGCTTCTTCTTCTTCTTCGTTACCCACACCACAGAGAAAAATACTAAGGATTGAGGTGAATCTTCAATTCACCACAGGGGGTGAATGTAAGTTTTGTTCTTCACCACAAGGGGTGAATGCAAGTTTTGTTCATTAATGACTACTAGGTGATTTTCCCGTGCGCATGCACGGGTATGTATATTTATAAAATAAATATACAGTAATAATTAATTGATATTTACTTTAATTTTTAAATTAATTTATAGTTTGTATGTCTAATTTATATTATATTACTTTAATTATACATATAATTTTAGATATGTTATATTTACTCTGTTTTATTGTTTTTACGGTCGATTTAGTTATCATTTAGATATATTAAATTCTATCTATTTCTCTGAATTCAACTATAATCTTTTATATTTTAAATATATTAAATTTTTGATTAATTGTTTTATTTGTATTTATCCTGGTTGTTATCTTAAAAATATAATTATATTTAGTAAGATTATATGTAACTTAAGATTTTTTGTGCTTAGAAGAAAAAAAATAAAAAACTAATATCTTAAAATAATTTTAGTTACTTAAAATATAATATATCTACCTCGTTAAATTATATAGTGTTATGATATTTCAAAATAATTGTAGTTACTTGATAAAAAGATGTTTATTATTAACTTTATTTTTAGTTTTATTTTTAGTATCTCTTAAAATAGTCAGTAAAAAGTGATTGTTTTTGAGAAATCATACTATATAAGTAAAATAGAATTTATATTTTTACTGTAATTGTAAGATATTATAGTCAAATAAATATACTAAAAAAATAATTTCAATAATACTAATTATAAAAAATGTCAATTAAACATATATCAGTTTATGTTAGTTGATTATTTTATGTAATCATCTAATAAAATAGATAGAGATATACAAAATAATTATTTTGAAAATATCTATATTTTCTTGTTTAAAATTATTTTTTTTAAGGAAAAAATATTTATTTTTCTAATAGCATTTTTTTGTGTGAAATGTTTTTTTATGAAATCACACTATATACAGATATTGTTTTTTATCTAAGAAGAAACATATATATAAAGTATTTTATTACTTCAAAGGTATATTTTATGTTATTTAAAATATATTTAAATTAAATATTATTATTTTGTGAACTTTCCTTTTTTACTAAATCATATTATATATACTTATATTTTCGTTTTCAAATATTTTTGTAAATTTTATAATTTTTTCCTTTTTATTTTATATTGTTATTTGGAAATTTTTTAAAAGTACATAATATTTAATTGTATTTTTAATTCATTAGGGTATTAGTAATCAACCATCGTGAGAGTTAACTTGACCGTGACACCTAAGAAAGTGACACCTAAGAAAGTGACTTCTCAAATAATATTATAGAGATCCGATGTAAACACAGTTTGTTACTGAATGTGACACGTGTCTTTTTGTTACCGGTGCAGATTGCTGTGACTCTAGTTAGTAATTCCTGAAGTATATATTTGAAGCCCAATTCCCATGTCTGTATTCACTTCTGGACCCACGACGTCATTAATGACCGTCGGATATGTAATGTCTGTTTGTTGTTTATTGCTATCAGCTATTAATAATCCCTTAATTATGCTTTGGGCCCAATTCTAATGTACGTACTCAATTATGGCCAGAGACCTTATGTATGGTTTTGAAGATGCTCTCTGTATCATATTTATAAACTACTATTCACTAGAAAAATAATAAAATGACATGGTATGATGTTACTGATTTACGAATTTTTTAAAGGTTTTTACATTGTAGATTAAAATAAATTGGAATGGAAATTTGATTATTTTAAATTACCCGACCCAACGATTTAAATGTATTCAGTTCTCTTGTAAAGGGCAATTATTTATTGATTTTATTTAAATATATAAACACAGCTCGAAAAACAAAAATGACATAGGTCATTTGAAAAAAAATGAAAACGATAGTTGATGAAAATTAGGTACAACGGTAAAACAGTTCTAAGCTCTAACAGATGTCTCAACGGCGACCTTGCCGGAATATCCAACATCCGACGATTTTATGTCGGATTCCCATAACTCCGGTAATGCCTCCTTCATGTTGTGAATGTTTTCCAAGGCGTAATCTGCTCCTTTGACTTTGTTTGGTGAACCAACCTGAAAACAAACAATCAAGAGTCAACTACAAACTCGGTTTAATTAATTTAGATTCCGGTTAGGTCTAACTAAAGTAATCGTACCAGAACCGTGTGAAGACCAACGCGTTTTCCAGCTTGTACATTTCGAACACTGTCCTCAAAGAACAGCTGCCAAGAGAAATAAATAAAAATTAATTTTATTAAGAAAAAATCGAAAGGAAGAACAATCATTAAAACCCGGTAAGCTATACCGTTCGGCTAGGATCAATATTGGCGATCTCGAGAGCTTTCTCAATAGCGGATTCAGACGGTTTACACACAATAGGCGTTTTAGGGAGTGAACCGACCGGCTCAGACCGATCGAAATGTCCAACGATATCGAATATCTCAGAATTTTCAGACGCAGCGTTTGTGTGCGTCGGGTTAAGCGTTTCGAAACATATGATCCCTTCGAAACAATCTTCTAATCCCAACTTCTTCAACGCCTTGGCCGCGTGAACTCTATCCGCGTTGGTAAATATCTAACAACGGGACGAAAATGTTGTTTAGTTAATATTTAACCAAAACTAATATAGTATCTATATGCTACATAAAAATATGATTGTGGCACGTACGACTTTGCGGAGAGGAAGGCTAAGCAAGATGCTTCGGAGAACAGGGTCTGGTTTTATGTTGTCGTACGGGAAACGACCGTGGACGAAGGTGTGATATTCGTCGTAGTCAAAGTCATATCCGATCGCCTAGACAACGAGAAGACGTATCGGCTTAAGCAGGTTGATACCAATATTAACAAATAAAATTAAAAGCCAACGAAAAAAAAGAGATTTAGGAATGATATTGAATAATGATCACGTACTCTAAGACCGGCCATTGTTGTTCCATAGTTCTTGTAAAGAAGATTAGACAATTCAACGATTTTGTCCTTAGGTATACCGAGTTTTTCGACCATATAATCTATCACACCGAAAAGCCAAAAAAAATATCAGCAATGAACTATTAGTTGATAGGGAGACAGAAATGTTACCTTTGATGTTCTTCCCACATTCTCTTGCGAGTCCAGTGCTAAGAGGATAAAGAGTATCGTCCAAATCTTAAAGAGAATTATTGATAAGCTAGTCAGATAACTATTCGTGTAATTAAGTTCATTGGTTTATCATGGTTTAAGGACGTACCGAACAATAGACAGTCGTACTTCTGCGTGGATGAAAGCCCGTACCGGTTTTCGAACTCCATTTTCTGAAACAATTGATTGGATCATAGAAGAAAAGCATTAAGTATTTGTTACTTTAAATACGGCTTTAATTCTGCATCACAGAGATTTTTCATGGATAATAATGACCCAAACGGATTTCTTAAGATTAGATTTGTACTTATGAAAGAGAAAAACAGAAAAAACAAAAGAAAACAGAAATAATTTTGTGAAATGAGTGGTTATAGTTGCTTGTGTCCCAAGAAAGTCGTGATAAGATGTTTTAAAACGCGAACTGCGAGATTCAGCGAATTACAACCACTGATTGACTACTCCAAATAATACTAGTATACGGATACAAAGGACAATGTATATGTGTTTGTGCACGAATCATGTATACATATAAGACTAACACGTGTGTGGACAAAGACAAACACAATGTAATTTTGTATGTAGTAACCAGTTTTTAGGAAATGGAGGAAAAACGAGAAAACGGCAGGGAGTTTGAAAGCAACACACAGAAACCAACGTAAAGTTCCTAAATGGAAGAAGGAAACAGGAAGGTGTTGATGGTGGACAGCTTGGTAGTTCTACCTTAGCGTTGAACAGAAACTGGACGAGTCGAGAGTATCCTAATTAGAGGGAGGTGTAGGGGAAGGATGGAGAGAGTCAGAGGAAGGGTTTAAATAGGAAACTCTCTCCGGCCCTTTCCGATCATTAAAAGCTAGTTGCAAATTTTAACTATATATTATTATACCTTTTTCACTAATATATTAAAACCGTGCTAATATATTAAGACCATGTGCAATGAGGAATCCTTAGGGGGAGTCCTTAAAAAAATATTAATTTTATAATCACTGGGTCCCATGAATAGTTAAGGATTTTATCCTAAAAATTCTTATGTAAGGATTGATCCTTACACTATTCATGGGCTCCACTGCACACGTGGCGGTCCGTGAGTGGTCAGTTTATTTTTTTTTAAGAAAAAATCTGAAATATCCTTATATAATCTGAAATACCCCTTTTTATTTTTTTCCTAAGGACTCCCCCTAAGGATTCCCCATTGCACATGCTCTAATAGACTTAGCTAATTATATTGTCTTTTTGTGTGTGTGTGAAAAACCTACTTATTTTCCTCCTAGCTACTTTTAATTAGTGTGTGCGTTTCTAAGTTCTAAGGGCATCTCCAACCCAACTCTATTTTTTACTCTAAAATGGAGTAAAAGGAAATATGGAGTAGAAAACACTCCAACCCTACTCTGTATTCTACTCCATAATAGAGTTTACTCCATAAATGAAGTAATCTGTTTTTTGTTTGTTCATCACTCCATTATGGAGTGGAAAATGGAGTGGGGTTGGAGCATTTTTACTCCATATTCTCTTTTACTCCATTTTGGAGGAAAAAATGGAGTTTTACATTGGAGATGCTCTAACGTGCAAGTCAAATTAAGAGGATGGTCACGCCATTCTCTTCTTTCTTATTTCGTGCAAATATACGAAACATTGCAATAGTTACATGTATCATATGATTGTTTCTTTTTGATAAAAGTATCATATGAATGTTCTACAGAAAGAAAAACATATATATCACAATTATATAATATATATATTTGAGTAACCTTTTTGGAAACCTGTGGGGTTATATCGTAATAGTCATGTTTCTTTTCAACTTTGGATATTTGGAGGCGGATCGTATAAGATGAATTTAATATCGGTTGGCAACTATAATTTATAGTCTATAAAAGCTGTAACTGTAAGCCACCAAGTTGATCCACCACCATGCATCTAAGATAAACTTTCAGATGGTTGATATATGAAATTTATATATACGAGCTTGATAAATAAAAATATATTGTATATATGCAACTATTATTTGTTTAGATACTTTTTTCTTAAAAAAAAATTACAGTCTTTGCTTGGATTGAATTACTATGTAAAATAAAAGTAATCAATAATGGTGCGTTGAGTTTAATTATATATAAAAAAAATAGGATCAAAAGCCGATCCATCTCTCTGGTTCCAATTATTGAGGAACTAAAACTCATTTAAACATTCGTATGACTTGTTGGTGCGTCTAGGACACGTTAGAGCATCCGCGACCGTAAAACTCATAAGAATCTTTTTAAAAAAGGTATTTCGGTTTTATTAAGGATATTTTAGATTTCCTTTTGAAAAAAAAAAGAATGACCATTCGTAGGTTGTCACATGTCCTAGGAACCCGCAAATAGTGTAAAGATTCGCTAAGAAACAATTCTTATTTAGTGATTTTAAAGATTAAATTCTTAACTTTTTGTAGGGTCTACTGATTATTTAATTATTTTTTTTCCTAAGAACTCCCGTCAGAGGTGCTCTTAATTCACAGACTAAAGGACATCATCTTCATAGACTAAAGGACATCATCTAATCTTAGAACTTAGGGCATCTCCAACCAACTCCATTTTTTTACTTCAAAATGGAGTAAAATATGCTCAAACCCCACTCCATATCTTATTCTATAATGAGATTTACTCCATAAATGGAGTAATCTATTTTTTCTTTGTTCATTACTCCATTATGGAGTTGGAAATAGAGTGAAGTTGGAGCATTTTCACTTCATAATCACTTTTATTCCATTTTAGAGGAAAACATAGAGTTTTACATTGGAGATGCTCTTAAACACATGTGTCCTAAAAATTCAAAATTTGGAATTAATGTGACAAAAGTTTTTTTTTTTTTAACACTTGTACATATAGAAATAATCGTTGTGATACAAAGCAAGAAATAAAAAGCAAAAGTAAGATGTCAATAGACACCGCACAGGCAAAGGAAAAGGAAAAAAATCTCACCAACTACCATTATTGTTGAGCTTCCAAAGTGAGTAAATGCTGCAGCCATACCGGTACATCTCGGGCGATGTATGATTGGGGGCGCATATCTCGGGTGACACTAACAGCAATTGACGATGCAACTTCATTTCTTTCCGGAAGTGCGTGATCGAGGCTCCAAGAATCTATCCTTGCAAGAAGAAAAGATATGTCGTGTCGGAGATGGCTGAAGTTAGGATGTTCTTCCGGCTTTGTGAGGAAATCTCGCAGGCAAGCCGACGATGTCTCAAAGATAACATTTGAGAAATGTAAGTTATGTAGACACTCCACCGCCCAAAAAAGCGCCCATAAGCCTGCCTCTGTCTTTGTGCGCATATAAGAGTAGGCACGACGACTATGGATGATTGTATGTCCATTTGCATCCCGAACAATCCATGAAGCTCCACTTAGTTGATTTGAGTTTACCCATGAGAAACCCACATTACATTTGAGGGAACCATTGGGGGGGGGGATGTATCCATCGTATCTCTTCTGTTTTATCATCCCCAACTCCATCCATCCTGCTTGTGAATGTATCACACCAAGTAGATTCTTCTTCATAGGTCTTTTTGGCGATAAAAAATGGATCCAGAACCTTGTTTTCAAAAAGATAAGCGTTCTTAGCTTTCCAATTTTAAAAAATAAAAAAATAAATAAACGGAAACGGTTTCATCCGGAAGAGAATACATTATTACGATGTCCTTTAACTACTCTTAACTACTAGTACTCTTCCTGGCTCTATTGTCCATCAATATCATATTATCCTGATACTGTCCATCAATAATTATCAATTTAATTAGCTATTCCAAAATATTATATCTAAAGCAATTATCTTGTGAATAGGTTTCGTCAGAAAAATGATAAATCGGACTGGTACCTATAAAAATAAACACATGTTAGAGTTTAGATGGTCACTAGTTTATAAGAAATTGACAGTTTCCGAAAGATCTGGAGAGTTATATTGTATCATTCAAATACAATAGTTAAACTCGATTGGAATCAAATAACAAGAAACATAATGAATTTGGCCATCTATTATATTAAAAGATAAGTCACAACTTCTTCATGTGTGATTTTTTTAAAATGGACTCTTCTTTAGAAAAGTTGTAACCTTATCTTTTGTATTTGTATAATAAAATCTTAACAACCATATTTAATTTCCATTTTCATTCTCTTAATACATAAGAACATCTTAAAACTAACAATACATTTATATAAACATTTAAATATATGTTCAACGTTAAAAATATATATTCATAAAATAAATAACATATGTATATAAAATTGAAAGTAATACCNAAGTTGTAACCTTATCTTTTGTATTTGTATAATAAAATCTTAACAACCATATTTAATTTCCATTTTCATTCTCTTAATACATAAGAACATCTTAAAACTAACAATACATTTATATAAACATTTAAATATATGTTCAACGTTAAAAATATATATTCATAAAATAAATAACATATGTATATAAAATTGAAAGTAATACCCGTGAGTCACAACTTCTCTTCATGTGTGATTTTTTAAAATTGGACCCTTCCTTAGAAAAGTTGTAACCTTATCTTTTGTATTTGTATAATAAAATCTTAACAACCATATTTAATTTTCATTTTCATTCTCTTAATACATAAGAACATCTTAAAACTAACAATACATTTATATAAACATTTAAATATATGTTCAACGTTAAAAATATATATTCATAAAATAAATAACATATGTATATAAAATTGAAAGTAATACCCGCGCGGTTGCGCGGATAAAGATCTAGTTATAATTATAAACCTTCTAAATTAAAAATATTCGACTATATTATTCATATTATAGGCATAAGGAGTTACTTTTGTACTAGGTAACTTTCCTCTGTTTATGCAAAAAATATAAACATTTACAAAGTAAATATATTATAATAATTTATGAATATTTTCTTTTAATTTAATTATTGTGTAATTTATATTTTAATTTATATAAATTATTTATTTTAAATCATATATGTTATTTTAATTATACATATGATTTTGGATATATAATATCGTGTATGTTTGGTTATTATTTGGCTATATTAGATAATATCTATTTTTCGATTCAACTAGAATATTTTTGTTCTATAGATTAAATTTGATTATTTTGTTGTTTACATTTAATTTTATTTGATTCTTATCTTATATTTATAAATAAATTTTAGTAAGATTACGTATAATTTAACATAAGTCGTTTAGAGAATCAAATAGTAAACATAAACTAAAGTGTTGATGGATTCAAGGTTACATAAACAAATATAAAAACGATAGTATTATGAAACCTCATATATAT